TACATCTCTCAACGACTCTGAGATGGTAACGTGCTATTTACTGAATTCCAAGCTTCCGCGGTGGACGTAATTGCCAATTTATTTGACAGGCAGCTGGGTAATGAATTAATGATGGCATTTCGCCCTGCAATGAGACTAAACAGACACTCATCAACCAGCCTCCCTGACATTCAATGCCCTGGACTCCAGCTACTCAGCTTTGTGGCCACAAAGGGGCAGGTGGGAGGAGGAAAAAAGATACCATAGACTGACTTCAAAATAAAAAGCCCGGTGGATTTGGATGACTTTTTCAGTGTATGACCTGTTTGCCAATTAATTCACGAAAGGCCCTGGTTAGTGCACACACTGCTTTTCTAAAATGAGACATTTTGTAAACATAATTAGAAGACTGAAATGTAAAGAACACGTGAGCACAGAGAAGCAGCTACAGTCAATGTCCCATTTCCCAGACATATTGTCACGAGAATTTCCAATTTAGACTTCCATATTTTTGACAACCTGAGGATTTTAGAAGAAAAATAAACAAACCAAAGAACAATTCCCACAGCATGAAAGAGACTTTAAAACTCAAACCTCTAAAGTAATAACAAACAAAGGAATCAGGTTTAAAATTTGTATAAAATGGTGTCATAAAATTCTGGTTTAAGGTGGGGTGTGATTGTAATCTCTATAGTCACAGGAATTAGGGAGACCTAAGCACTTCAGTCACAATCCAGCTCACTGTTTATTACAGGGGTGGCCAAACTTACTCACCCTCTGAGCTGCATACGACAATCTTCAGAAGTTGGAGAGCCGGGCACACCTGGCAGGACTCAGGGCTTCACCGCAGGAAGATCCTGACAGAGCTCAGGGCTTCAGCCCCGCTCCCCGTCAGGTGCGCCCTGCAGGGCTATAGCCATGAGACCCTCCTGCCTATGGGGCAGAAGCCCCTATCCCACCACTCCAATGCAAGACAGAGGTCCCGAGCTCCCCCCGCCAGTCTGGAAGGTAGAGAATGGGGACAGGGGGCACCGAAGCAGCACTTGAACTGTAAAAGAGCCACATGTGGCTCACGAGCCACAGTTTGGCCATCCCTGATCTATTACATTATAGCACACATTGTCCAATTGCTGACAGTCCCAGCCTGAAAGGTTTCAAACCAGACTGGACAACACACAAGGAAATATGATATAGAGAACTGTTCTTTCCTGGCCAGGGAGATGGAAAAGATGACCTTGGGTCATCAATGCTATCTCTAGCTTGTACAGCTTGGTCAATCCTGCTGTTCCCTGGCAGTCTCACTTGCAATAATATGCCATAAGGAGCACCAGAAATAGCATGGACAACACCAACCAAACTTAACAAGCTCAGAGAAAACATATAGTGTTTGCAACACCATAACCCTCTATTTCAAAAGCGGCTGCAGGGAGCCCTAATAGGAAGTCCTCTCCGTGCTAGGACTCAGTCTTACTGTAAGTATAACTTTTGATCACTGCAGCACACCAATGAGAGAGAAATTAAGGCCCGATGAGGCCTATGCTGTACTAATTTCCAGTGATTTCATTGGAGCTGGATTGTGTCAACAAACTGCAGAGTCACAGCGATGTTCGTTGTGAATAATTCAGTGTAATACTGAGAGTTCATCAATTAAGGAACCAAATAAAGAGGCTTGAAGTGGTTCTCTTCAGTGCCGTTAATTCTTAGAAACATGGTTACCTGAGACATCTTTCCCTTTGACCATATTCTGAAGGGCACCTGTATTCTGACGTCATCCACCTTCTAGGGGTTCTACTATGACTTCTTAGGTGAACAAATGACTGAACCTGGGCTGGGCTGTAAAGGTTTGCAGTTGACCCCCCTTACTGCTCTCCTTCAGCTCATCCATCCCCACTGCTGAAAGATTATAGTTGATGTGGCTTGATCAGAATTTTTTTTGTTTTCAACAGTCAGACTCCATTATCTAATCCTCCTTTATTTTTTCCTTTTAAAGGCTGTCATTTGCTCTGGGTTTTAGCATTTTATTTTTTATTGTCTATTTTATGCTATATAAACCTTACGACTTTACTGCAAAGTACCATAGGTGTACCACTATCATCATTAGGCTGCTATAATTCAGGTGACAATGATTTCCATTCTAATTCCATTCTCTGACACTTGCAACTTTATAAAACGTGCACCTTCCAGGATGAAATTGTCCAAGACTGGATTTTGCCCAAACGTGTGGGAGGAGGTGGGGGGGCGGGGGTTTAGTGAAAATTTCAGCAAAAATGGCTCAGATTTTAAGTACAAAAAGAGTAAGCTAACATTTATTTACCATCATATAATTCCTGTGACCTCTTCCATGAAAAGCTCCAGTGTTATAAAGGCTATGGGTAGAAAGTTGAAATTTAGCAATGAAATGGCCTTAATGGAAGAGAAATGCTTTTCGGAATTCCAGGGAAATTTGGTTTTGATTTGACTGAATTATGACCCTTTGAACATTGCAAGCCAGATATGGACAGTACGTTTTGCACAGGGATTTTGTTCATCGTGACAAGCATGTGGCTAAGAAAGCCTGCCAGTCTAGCTTAGCTGTGTTGTGTACTGACCGAGCATACAGGCTGAAGCAAGGACCATGTAAGCAGAAAGCTTCTGACCTTTTTGACATCTCTCAATAGCTAAATGATCGCGCTACCCTGTCCCCAGCCTTGGTACAAACCGTTGAATGCAGGCAGCATCTTGACATGCCCCATGCGGAGTCATGATCCTGCACTGGTTGGCATTACTTCTCCTACATTTAGGAGTGCCTATATTAGATAAAATGGTTTCGCGTTTCACCCGGTACAAAATACCACATTGATACATACCATTCGATCGTCACACAACCATCAGGAGAAGCCTGCATCAGAAGCTCATGAGCAAAATCTGAGTAACAGGTCTTGCAGAGGCTCTCGTTTAAAATAAATTGTTTCATTTTTATTTATTTATTTATTTTAAGAAAAGAACTTTGGGGCCAGGAGCAAAGTAGTAGTAATGCTCTTGGAAGTATCAGCTTATTGTGTACCAAAGAAAATTGCATCCTTCGGGTCTTGGAAGGCACAGTTATACCCATTTTGCATATATATTGTGCATTACTTGGGGAGCCGGGTGGGGAGAAGGGCTGTGTTGTACATATTTGTTCTGGCTATTGTTTATGCAGGTCTGACTGAATGAAGGAACAGTGGGTATCATTTCAATTTCTGATGTCAACATCAAATTACTTATTTAATTTCATGCCTGGCGAAGCATTGTATAGCTACACGCAGAATCATTTCACTTCATTTGTTATGCTGTGTTTTCTCGGCGATTGGCTTGCCTTCCAACTGACAGCTTTAATTACGACATGAATTTGATTGCACTGCCAAATTAACATAATGCAACAAAGCATTTAAGCGCCTAGCCTCAGACAAAAAAAGAAAGACAGCATGCAGCCCATCAGCTTCTTGTGCGCCCGCCCATGTGTGCACACATACACACAAATTGGTATTATTCCAATTTGGATACCTCCAAGAAAACAAAATATTCTGAAGGAGAGGAAATGCTAGGAGTTAAACAGTCGAGAACTCAAAGGCTAACCCTCATTCTGGATTTTTTGGACTGAACATTATTGTAGAAGAAGCTGGAGGCAGAGAAGTGCAAATGTCCTAATATCTGAAGCTGAAACTGATGCGGAGGGTGAGGGGCAGGTGATAACATGCTGACTTTGTTGGGGCCTGGCTCCTTCACTCTTTAATGAGACCTCAGCATATCTCCCTGAGTGGCAATGAGGCTTGTCTCCCTTCACTTGGTAGCCAGCATCATCTCCTCTCTGGCTTTGGGTTCCCAATGCACTTGGAAACACAGCCAGAAAGCACAAGAAACTGAGGCACTCAAGAGAGAAGCTATGAGCTTTTCCGGGATCCTGAGATGAGATCTGCGGAAGCAGAAGAGGCACTGTGTGTGCAGAGTGTTGAAGGGGTTGGGAGAAAGATGGAACAGGGTGTATATTTTTTCCTGGACCAGATGTTTCTCATCCGGTTATCAAACTGGAGTTCTAAACAGTGTGATTTTGATGCCATTGGTGAGTCATTATTACTCATAATGATTATCTCCTACCTAAAACCATGGAGGAGAAAAATAGCAGATTTTACTATTGCTACCCATAATCTAGAGCAATCTATAAGTTCTGTGTGAGAGAGAAAACAAGTCACATAGATCAGAGATGCCAGAACTCCTCCGCTATTTGTCACTATCCACATTTGTATGGCGTGCATCAAAGTTAGGGCTGGATGAACCATGAAGGATACAAGAATGGACTTCAATGGGACGACTCACATACTTAAAGTTCACATGCTTAAAGCTGCTTCAGTGCTTTGCTGCATTGAAGCCAAAGTGCTCAGGATCGAGCTTCTGTGGGGAGTTTTGCAGTATGTTGACATTTCTACTCTGTCAGAAATAATAATCCGTGGGATAGTAGACTTGTTGGCTAATCCCCTTAACACTCTGGGATGTTTACCATCCAGGCCTGCTGGCTTCTATATGCTCATTCCCCACTCCCCCCCCCACCCCCAAGATTTCCCTTACCTCCTCTGGCAACTGAGGGAAGGAAGGTGATCTCAAGTATTTCAAAAAGGGAAATCAAAGTTGAGAGAGTTCCAGGCTGAGGAAAAGAGAAGGCACTGCCATGTTGTCTTAAAGCAAAATCTTAACAGAATGAATTCCACTACTGGCAAGATTTTGATGAGATTAAAATGACTATAGCATCCTATATATTCCCAGCTACCCATAAAAAGAAGGTCTCCAATTTCACTGCTTTAGGGCCCTAAGGCTAGCTCTATCCAGAAAGCAGAAAGTAAATGGTTATTCCAAAAAGACTATAAAAGAAGTAATACAGAGTGTGTGCATGTATGCGTTTGGGGGGGGGGGGGGGGGGGGGGCAGGTGGAAGACCAGTTTACAAACTCAAACAATGAGATTTATCAGCTCACTGTCCAACAGTTGCTGTCAGGAGCTGTCAGGTAATCATTCTCCTTAATTGACCAGAGGTCAAGTTTTCTGTTAATTAAATTCTTTTAGAGAGTTCAAGGGGAATGGGGTGTGGGGAGAGATGGAAAAAGAGGTGACGGAAATCAGTTTCACTGCACTGCATTTGACAAGAACATGGGGCAATTCCACTTCCTACTTTCTGATGCTATTTCAAAACTCATTATGAGAAAAGTCTCCTGATTAACATGGTCTTTTCATAGTATTATTTTCTTTTTGGTTTTGACCAAGGCTGCAAAGGAATGATCCCTTGTAAAAACACTTCGACTTAATGTCTGTGTTACCCAAGGATTGTAGACACATTTATAAAACGCATAGTCGAAAGATATCTGTCAGGAGAGGGAATGATGCCACTGACAAGTGAGTTTGCAACTGGTAATTAATTATACTATCTCCCTCTTTCTGCGTCTGTCACTGGGCTATCACTCAGGCTTCTCATTAAAGCTCATGAAGTTAACATTTCTATATCAACAGTTTACTTACAACCGGAGATTTGAAAATGGATTATCCATCTAAAGTATATGCATTCCTTTCATTATACATCTTCATGCAGGAACCATGCCTACTGTTCTAGCTTGTATGACTACCACAGTAGAAATTCATCATGTTGAGAGTCCAAGATTTACTTTTCTGAGCTGTGGGCTAATCTCAATGAGATATTTTAAATTTTACCCATATTTTCCACTGAGTACACAATCTCTGTGTGTATTTTTCCCAGGTGAAATGTGCCTATGTCAGAGAAAATTCTGCAGAGAGAGAGAAAAAGAGATCTTAGTCTCATCTATTGTTCTTTTCAGGACAATCAGTGTTGGCAAATAAGATGCAGTCAGACAGCCTGCACCTTTTAAAAATGTATTATTTTTAAACAACACTATTAAGCTCTCAAACCATGTTTGTTTGAAATAATGCAATTCAAGGTGGGATCTCACAGAGCTGGAAGTGAAACTATCAGAGCTGTTATCTGGGAATCCATCTTTTAAAAAACAAGGTTTCTGCTGTAGCCTGAGAAGGAAATGTACAATGATATTTACTTTTCATAACTGAAAGAATCCGAAAAAGGCTGCAGGCTACCGCAGGCCCCGATAACAAGATATCCATCTCATGCATGCTTCTTAAGTCTTAGCTGAACTGGCAGCACTGGACAGCGATCCAGGGGTCTCTTGAAAAGGCATGTTTCAACTGTGTTATGTTATCAAAGCGTGACAGGGCTTGCTATCAACTTAGGCAAAAGAAATAAAAAAATATATTAATGAGATTATTGCCGAGATCCCCGCTCGCTGATAATGTAATCCTCATGTGATCTCTTGGGTGTCTAAGGGGAACTAAAAATGTTTCCCTCCTCCTTTCCATTATCTGCATTGTGAGGTTGAAGACAATGTATTGCCAGAGGACACAGGATGCATGTATGTAAAACTAGGGAACTGGAATCAGGAGCACTGGGGTCTACTCCTAGCTCTGGTACTGACTTGCTGTGAGCAGGGCCGGCTCCAGGCACCAGCTGAGCAAGCAGGTGCTTGGGGCGGCCAAGGGGAAGGGGCGGCACGTCGGGATCTTCAGGGCGGGTCCCTCTCGGAGGGAAGGACCTGCCGCCGAAGAAGAAAGCAGCGCGGTGGAGCTGCCACCGATCGCGGCTTTTTTTTCCCCTCCGCCGTTTGGGGCGGCAAAAACCCTGGCGCCAGCCCTGGCTGTAAGGCATTCGGCAAGTCTCGGTCTTGGGGTCCCCATCTTTAGTACATTGCAAGGCTCGCATAGAAGATGTTATGCAAGTGTAAAATCAATGAAAATATCAAATTACTTGCTGAAGTCAATCTCCTCTCCTTTGATGGTATTTTATTGCACTGATAACAGCCTCGCCCTATGGCTATAAAGGGCAGGCTTTAAAACTAACATGAGGCCATCCATGAAGGTTGAGTCTAAGGGAGGGGTGGACCCCTAAAATAATGGAGCAAAGGAGAGAGAAAGAAGGAGAAGGTTTCATAGCGTCACACCAGCAGTTTAACAGGCTATTCCGGCAGTACTGCACAGGGCAGCCACAACTAGCTCTGTACCTTGAGGCTTAAATTTGCCAAGAAAATGGGTTAAAAAAGTTTCATTTCAGCTCAACTTGATCTCATCTGTGCAAGCCACCCTATGTTACCTGTCTTCCAAATTTGAACACCTATTTCTGAGTCTTGGGTATCATTTATTATGCACTAGAGATATAGGGCCAGACCTTCAGATGGAGGGGGTCTGGTGAAACGATGAATTAAACCAGCTGAGGATCTGATCCATCCAATGTCCTATAGATGAGCCATTGTATTTTTTAAAAAAATCCACCCTCAGGCTAGATGATCTAATTACGGCAAAAGAAGGTCCATTTTGTTCCCAGAATGTGTCTACTCTCATTCTAGGCCTTGGTTGAATAACTGATGCATAGTTTAATCGGTGAATGGTTAATACTCTGCAACAGAGAGAGGAAGCCAGCTTTGTTTTTTGCATGGAGATACCCTCTCACCACTAGTACTGGCTCCTTCAGTGGGAAGTTTGGCCAAGCACTGGAAGCAAAACTTGTGCGTGTTATACCTGTTCGCCATGTTATACCTGTTCAGTGAATAAAAACGACTTGAGTCTCCCCAGTTCCCCAACACCTTTCGCAAGTATGACATTCGCTACAGTAAATACATTCCCCCCCTTCCTATCCTGGGTAAGAGCCTACTGTACTTATCAAACTAGTGTTCACTGTGTAGCTAATTATACATAATGTATGGGTATCAGATTAGATCTGAGTTTCACTGGTAAAGTATCAGTATGTATCACTGATGAGTGTGTATTAGGTATGCAAGTAAAATAAAACTAATGCAAGGCCTGTAGGCATTAGGTCTGAGAGATATGTAACTTGTCCACAGAAAGCCACAAAGGCCTCAAGCAAGTTGGCATGACTACACAACTGAGACAGAATCCTGTATCAGTAAATTTTAAGATAAGAGTAAAAGATGGGTTTGAATGCTGATGCTCTGGAACTATGCAGCACTAAATGGGAAAAATCTGCCACAACGTACCAGTTAATACCACAAGATGCCCGACAGTAACATTTCAGGTGACTCTGTAATAACCTCAAGTTGCTATGGTAACTCATTGATGTAGATGTTAATGGGAACAAGGGGAATAGCCTATGAGAGATGGGTCACCCTAAAATTCATGGGGTGTTGAAGTGCAAATAAAGAAAGAGGGGACGTCACCCTCATCATATGCATGAGCGTAGTGGGCATAAAAGAAAACCAGGATAAAAGCTGTTACCTAGCCAGGGAAGCATATTAGGAGACACCCATCAGGGACGGCCACCTGATAATTATCCTATTCCTTTCAATGTTTCCCCAGGGGATGGGAGTATGAAATCACTGATGCTGGACAACGTATGGTTTATCTCTGAGTATTTGCAGTAGTTGTGGCATCATTTATCTGCTTAATGAAATTGTTAATAAAAGGACATTTGACAACTTGCGAGTGTATTACTTTGTGGTCAATTTTTCTCACGTACTCCCAGAGTCTCCAAATCTATCGATATTTATCATGGTGGTTCTCACCTTGTTAATCCTGATATCGTAGTTGTTCAGGAGCTCGAATCTTGGGCACAGGTCACTGTGGTCTAAGATACCAACCTACCAATATTATAGAGGCTACAACTGTCTAATTTGTTACGTTGCAATGAACTAATCAATTGGTTTCTTTCAACTGGCTGCGACTGACCCCCTACACACAAATAGAGACTGTTACCGAATTTAGAAGGGAGTCCATCCCACAAGGGGGCAGGAGAGCCACACCCCACCAGTGAGGTGGGCAGGAGGAGTTTAGCAGCACATTGCCCCCCAGGGGCCAAATTCTGCCCTGATTTACACCCTTCAAAAAAAGGATGCAACTCAGGGCAGTATTTGGCCTCAGGAGTTCTACTTACGTCACTGAGTCTTTCCCGAGAGTTGCTCCGATGGAATCCTTTCGATTCTCCACTTGCACTTTCACTGTCACTGTCTCGGCAACTGTTCTGACCTGGCTTGAGCTGCAGAAGACAGACAGAGCACATACAAAAAGCAGAAGTTTAGATTGGCTCAGACAACTCTTCCTCTCTGATGTTACTGCTGTGGCACCTGTAGTACCACAAGGGCAAGATCCAGCCACAGCATCCACAGGTTTCTTACAATCACAGACCTATTCCAGGTGGCATCGCAATTGCACATGAATGTCTAGAGTGTCAGTCTGGTGAAATACAAGCAGACAAGGTCCCCGTCCCAAAGAACTCACAATTTAAGTCTTTGAACCTGAAAACATTGAGCCACATAAATAAAGTTACTCGCACCACTGAGACTGCTTGTTTTCATAAAGTTACCATCCCCGACTAAGCATGTGCACTATCAATGCCTACTTTAGTAAGATCAACTGAGGATCTAAGATCAACTGAAGACACTTTGGGGAGGCGACGATCTTCACTATGGGGATGTTTTGCAGGATTGGAGCCTAAATTCTTTACTTAGTTCCATAAAACTTCTTGGCTGTTCTATATATTCATAGACCAACATGATCTATTTATCAACTTCCATATTTTTCTTGTGTTTCAAATGAATCTATAAATGATAAATCTTGGAGGTTAAAAAAGTCCCCATTCTTTCTGTGTGTCTGAGAACACGTACTGCCTTTGGATGTTGTAGATTGTACAAGTTAAACACTCAGAGTATTAATGCCGCTAGACTGCTGTCTAAACATGATATAATTAGTAGAACTGAGTGAATACTGACAAAACATGTTTCTATTTATCTACATTTCACTACCATTTGCTCGATTTTATGAAATAATTTGCTTCTGCCCTTTTGCATTATTTTCTGTGAACATTTGTGTGACTGAGTTCTACTGGCATGAATATTTGTAGAAGACAAATTTCAAAGCCGTGTGTATATATGGAAACTGAATTTTAAATTAACATATCAGAGTATTTTGCACCAGAAGTGCATGTAGGAAGAATACTATGGGATTTATCAGACCAAATCACAACCTTGCAACAGTTCAAGAATGAATACCAAATATTGGCATAGAAGTATGCAGAATCAACTATAAATAATTAGCAAAACAACTCATCTAATTCTTTCTACTAATGAATAAATTCAAGGCGATTGTGATCTGCTCACAGGTATTCCATGAATAGCAAAACAAAAACTAAAGATGGGATTTTCAAAAGTCCTTGGATACATTCTTTATTGGGAATTATCCTCTGAGCACAAATATTTATAAATCTGTCCAAGGAGTTCTCCATTGTTTCATTGTGCTTTCTGGAGTATACCATAAACACTACTGTTCTGTCTTGTCCATACAGGAGCTGAGAACCACAGCACTTCCAGCCCCTATCAGTTTCAGCAGCAGAAACCAAAATGTCTCAGTTCACAGAACTTAGGGTGACCAGATGTCCCGATTTTATAGGGACAGTCCTGATTTTTGGTTCTTTTTCATATATAGGCTCCAATTACCCCCCACCCCATGTCCCGATTTTTCACATTTGCTATCTGGTCACCCTAACAGAACTACATCTTGTAGTTGTAGTTGTAGTACAACTACAACCAGTCCAAGCCCTTATTCTTTTACTTTATTTACTTTTCTCTGCTTTTTTATTTCTGGTCTATTTGCCCTACAAAACAAGCTGCAAGCTTTTCCCAACACACATGCACACACACTCTCTCTCTCTCTCTCTCTCACACACACACACACACACACACACACTTACTCTCTTCCCTTCCCCTCCCCTCATGGGTTTACCACCTGAATGCATGAAGCATCTTGGAACTTGTGTCCTAGTAGTAGATGGTGTGTGTGTGTCTCTCTCTCTCTCACACACACACACACACACAATTTGGTCAAGAATAAACTGCAAGGAAAAGTAGGCACTCTGCAACTTGTATTTCCTGCTATGAAGGCAACTCACCTTCAATCTTACCTTCTCTTCAGCTGTATTCTGAGACAACTGGTTTTTTACACGTTTATTTAAACTCCTTTAAAGGTATGCACATCAAGAAGCTCATACCCCAAGACACTAGAAGAATGTATTTTGCTCTTGCTAAAAGAAAGGTAGTCCGGTGGACCGGGGAGAGGGGTGCAGAGAGGGGGAAGGCCCTGGTATCTATGCCAATGCCCAGCTCTGTCAATGCCCTAGTATGTAATCTTAAATGAATCACTTCACCTCTGTGCCTTAAATTTCCTCAACTGTTAAATGGGGATAATGATGCTTCACCTCCTTTGAAAATGCTTTGAGACCCTTGGCTGAAAGGTGCTATTTTAGAGCTGGACATTGTTCTTAAACAGTTCTTCACAGATAGGGTTGCCAACTTTCAAATTGCAGAAAATCTAATACCCTTACCCTGCCCCTTTCCTGAGGTCATGCCCCTTCTCCAAGGCCCTGCCCCCCACTCACTCCTTCTCCTGTCGCTCACTCTCCCCCCACCCTCGCTCATTCATTTTCACTGGGCTGGGACAGACGGTTGGGGTGTGGAAGGGGTGAGGGCTCTGGGGTGGGTCCAGGCTGGGGGGGTGGGTGTAGGCTCCAGGAAGGAGTTTGGGTACGGGCTGGGGCTGGGGCATGGGCACGTGAGGGGTGTGGGCTCTGGGTGGTGCTTACCTCAGGCAGCTCCCGGGAAAAACGGCCAGCATGTCCCTCTGGCTCCTAAGGGGAAGGGCGGCCACGGGGGCTCTGCACACTGCCCCTGCCCACTGTGTAGGGTTACCATATCTAACAAATAAAAAAAGAGGACCCTCCACAGGCCCTGGCCCCGCACATTTCCCCACCCTCAGACCCGCCCCAACTCCGCCCCTTCCCCGCCCTAACTCCGCCCCCTCCTCCCTCCCATTCCCAGCCACGCGGAAAGGGCTGCCCGAGCGCTACCGGCTTCACGGTTTGCCGGGCA